CTTGGCAATTTGTTTGTAACTTGGTAACCAATAATTTGTTGGTATCTCCGTGATAACTTTTGATAAGACAATTGAATAGCAATAGATGTCGCTACAAGGTTCTGCATCGTAGCGCCACTAATAATAGGAACGAGAATCTTGAAATCATGGCTAAAAAAAATATATTGTATGCAAGATCTATTCACAAACCTCGTCTGTGCTTTAGTTAATGTACGTGTTGTAGTAGTGGCATTCCTAGTTCGAAGTTTCAAAAATTTCTTGTACATATTCTTACTTTGTGTTGTATATTTCGATAAATTAATTTTCAAAATTGAATATTTTGTTATCTAGCAGTGAATACTTTGACACCTATCAGAAGATACTTTCATTCAAGTAAGGTTATCTTTTTAATTGTATTGTAACATACGAGGTTATATTTTTTTATTTAGTTATTACACATGTTATAAATAAAAATTTGCTTCATCTGTTACGATAAATATTCTACTTTCTTATGGTACTCTTAAATTTATTAAAAATATACTATAGGTTTGCAGCATATCTACAATGTTCCCACCAAGATTGAATCTTCATAAATAACGTCTTAAAAATAAAATTAAATACTTCATTAGATTTCTTGTATGAAATGAAATAACTTTTGCATAAAATAATCTTTTTGCATATTCAATGATAAAAGATAAAAGTCTGTATATTATACTTTTTCACTGGTTCATAAGATTTTTAATCTATTTAATTAATCAGATATCAATGATTTTTTTACTTTTCTAATGTAAGAAAATTATTTGTATAAATTTTTATTTAAATAGATAGATACAAAGAAAACAATATTTATTTTACAAGAAAAATATGTATGAATCGTGTATGAATTAATATTTATAAAATGAATTTAGAGAAACATAATAATGATTAGTTTGTATGCGACTCGCTTATATTTTTTTAATCTTAAAAAATATCTCAAATTTGAACCAAATTAAAAGAAATTTTTATTAGTGTGCATTTCTCGGTTAAATTTTATGTTAAATTCTGTCTATTTCTTGAAATGAAAGTAAGATTATAGTAAGAATAAGGATTTTCAGGAGAATTAAGATTATCTATGATTTATATCCCAATAGTGTTCACCATAGCCGCCATTTATATTTCCCCATTTGACCTGCAAATTATTATTTATTATATTATTATTTATTACTTAAAAAGATAATATTCTCAATAATGAACATTATAATAATAATCATTATAATGTCTTAATTATTATGCAATAATTCAAATTTAATATTTTTATTATACCTTTCCACGATGACGATTGTTCGGAAGGTCTTTTTCTTCGAATCTTTGTTCCCATTGAACCGGATTCTCGCAAACGTAGCCGAATTGCAATTTGTCCTCTTTCTGATGTTCCGTAAAAATATCTCTAAACATATTTTATCGTATATCTTGTATATAAATTCTATAATTTTTATATATTTTTTAATTTTTCTTTAAACATATTTCGTTACACCATTGATTAAAGATTTTATATCTTTTAAATTTTTATTAAAAATTTTTTGTTATTTTCATCGATGATGATTTGAATCTATCCGAGAAATAATGTTTTGTATAATATACTAATACGAATTTTTAAAAAAATAAGAAATTTCAAGGATTTACTTCATTGTTGCATAGTATTAATACCTATAAATAAATAAATAAATAAACATATTTTGGTATTATATTATACATACTGGAATAGTTGTTTTTTTATTGCAATAATTTTTGCGGGTTCTTCATTGGTTGATTTTTTTCTCAATCTTTCAATTACACCTGCAAATTAACATTGCTCTTATACTATAAATTGATTAGTATATGTGTAATTTATAATATATGTTCATTTAGTGTCACTTATTACATAATTACTCCGAAATTTATATTACAAACAATTTAGTAAGTATTATTAATTTTCTTCAATTTTTATTTTATTATTTTTATTAAAAACAATTATTTATTTATTTACATTTCAAATTACCTCATTTTTCCAATTTAATTTGCTCTTTAGTGACAAAATTAACAGGATGATAAAAAATTAATAAATTACCTGGAAAAAGTTGATGTTCCTTTTTTGCGTTTGTAATAACAAGAATAATTAAAATATTAAAAAATAAAAAAATAAATATTATAAAAATATGTGAGTGGAAAAATTTAAACATATCAGCGATTGAAAATTATTCTAAATGATGGTAATAAATAATCTATCACCGATCGAGTTTCAATTCGAACTGACGCATTTATTCGGAAACTGTTCATTTTGTATGCTCTGATTGCTCTGGCACTGTTCAAAGATGTGAAAGTTAGAATAGATGGTAAAAGATATTGTCATCTCATAGTTACGAAGTGCTTTCGCTTTCCATAAATTATTATTAGATTGCACATAAAACATACTCATAAAATATAACAAAATGTATCACTGGATACATATAGAATAGAATTTAATTTAACTTCAACATATTTTTTAATTCATAGTATGCGTAAATTTACAGAAAATATAAATAAAAATTTTATAAGAAATATTAATGGCAAAGTGACAGTTGTTAATTTATTATTATCAATGTAAATAGAGAAATTAAGTTTTCTGAAGTTAATTTAGTTAGATACATTTGTTGATGTAATAAATTCATATTTTTGTAAATAGAATTAAAAAGTAGGTTTATATTAAAATTAAAAAATTGATTTATATATTAAATATTAGAACAATCACTACACTTTAAATATAATATATATTTTTTCATACAATATATATTTTAGTAAATTTTTCAAATTTTCTATAAAAATCTATAGTCTACTTTTCTAAAAATCTAAAAGTCTACTTACTATTTATACAATTCTTTAATGTTGTGTTTCTTAACAGTTTCTTAGATTTGAGATTAAATACTATCTTTTAGAATCTACATTTCTAATTTTCATTATTTTATATAAATATATAGTAATTAAAATTGTTATCCAATTAAGTCTTTACTACTATAGAATTTAGAAGTTCAATTATAATTAAACAGATTCTACAATTTCTATAACTGTAATTACAATTTCTAAATACTAATTTATTATTTTGGTTTTTTAAAATATGTGCTTTTCATTTATTGATCTTTTCTGCAAGATCTTCATTATTTGTCTTCAATATCTTTAGTAGTATTTAACTTTCTTACAATTATATTTTGGATTAATTAAAAATTGTATTAATTACAAACTAGTTTTAACATCAATATTTCATGATACATTGATATAAAATTATGTTTTTAATAAAAATATCAAAAGAAATTAGAGCAATAAGTGATATCAAAGTTTGAAATTCTTAAGCACTTTTGTAATAGTCTCAACACAAATTGCCACAGCATATGCACCAGCATCTACATTCTGAAAATATTGTTCTTGTTTTACATAACTGGCTCGTCCTACCCTGTGACATAAATTAAAGATTAGAGATTAAAAATTAAAAATCAAGAATTAGGAATTAGAAGTTTAAATTAATTATTCTATAGAATACATTACATTTATTTTGAAATAAACTTGTTCACAGATCATTAATATATACTTTCATGATCACTATGCAAAGATAATTTAAAATAATTTTCGTCAAATTTTATTTTCTTTTTTTTTTTTATAAAAAGGAATCATACATTACTTACTTAGCTTTCATATTCTTTGTAGATTCACATGCTTGCCAAGTTGCTATCCTTATTGCATCACAAATTTCTACTAATGGTTTGTGTAAATGATTTTCAAAAGTTTCACACATTGCATTGAGAGAATCAATCTAATAAAATACAAAGAATATTTAAATATCATAGTAAATTAAAATGTATATTATTTCTCCATATTTATATTGCTCAATTTTAAAACTAATTTAAGGACATACTAGTAATTAAATATAGATTTGAAATAGAGATAAAATATAACAGTTATAAATAATCATTTCCATCACTTTATTATTTTTATGAATAATGAGTCGTTATTATTTTTATTCTTCTATCATTATTATTTTTATATTATCTTATGAATAAATCACAATGAATCAGTAGTTATAATAAAAATAAAAATAAAAATGCATTATCTAATAACAAGTACTAAGGAAACACTTACCAAAGATCTGTCTCCTGGCTTTGCTTTTCCATATTTCATTAAATGATTTAGACCCTTGCGAAATGCACGTGCCCAAATATGTGGCCAACCATCTTTCTCAGTGGCTGAGGCCAGTTCTGTGTTAATACTAGTGAAAAATAAACAATACAGTGCTCCTGAAGCGCCACCCATTTCTTGTTCAGCTATATCAGCCAGTTCATGAAATACAGACGATGGATGTGAGAATTGAAATTTGTCTAAATATGCCAGAGTTTCTGAAAACAAACGTACAGAAAACAAAATTTAGTTAAAATCGATTTAGGATTAATAAGAGGCTAACAGATTCAATAAATTTGTATTTGTACGAATATATTTAAATAGAAAATAGAATTTAAATAAAAAATGTGCAAACATTTTACTTTGAATCATACTATTTTTGTATATTCATTTTTTGCAGATTTTTATTTTTCAGATGTTATTTAAATACATCTAATAGGGAATTAATTATTATATTCTGATTATTATTATAATATAATGTAATATAATATATTATTACATACTATACGCATAATAGGGATCTCTAATACATACATACCAGCAGCAAGTCTTTTAAGGGTTGATCCTGTATCACCATCTCCACATCCTCTGTCCAGATCATTCAAATGACTCTCCTGTTGAATTATAGTTTCGCAGGCACTTTTCAAACATTGCTTCAATAAACTCTGTAATTCTGCAGTGATTTCTATTCCAATTCTTTTTGTTGTTAGGATTACTTTATCCTGAACAATTTTTCTTGCTCTTTCTGTAGGAACGCTATACACACAGCCTGGCCACTTTGGTGCTGTAGTAGGTGCGTCCAGACAACCAAGGAATAGACTTTTCTGATTTTCAGGTAGTTTTAGAAGAGTAATGTGCACGCCAGCACTGTTTAATGATGTCATTAATAGTCCCGCGTACACACGAAGAGGTTCTATGTTCATACTTTCTGCATTAACGAAATTTATTTGTTCAGTTGATTATTCAGTTAAATTTAAAGTTTGCATAGTGAGTTAAATTTACTATCAAGTTTATTAATTTACGTTAGGTGTAGACATGATTATTAAATTTGCTCATTAATAGATTTATGCAACAGAGCATGTGTAAAGTATTAATATGATTAACAATTTGTATCGTAAAATATACGTACAATTGAAAAATTATATCGATTACAAATTCAGTATTGAAAGTGAAAAAGAATTATTCAACATTCAGAATAAAAGTTTTCGTGTTAAGACTTTATTATTACTTACGAAGATGTTTCACCACGTCGTGAACTACAATCCCTTGCTCTAATTGACTCAACGCTCCGAAATTATTAATAATAACTGCAACAGAATCTCCACTTTCCAAGGATAACGCATCGCGCAAACGTTTCAGCATAAATGCAACTATTTCACTGCATGGTTTCAATTTCATTTTTTCGTAACCAGCCTCTCCATGAATTCCTTGTCCAACTTCAATTTCATCCTCTGCAAGCTCGAACATCGGAGGTTGACCTAAAACATTTAACACGTGAATTTTGCTAGTTACTTCAATTCTTGTCTATCCTAAAAAGTAAACTTAACAATACGTTTAATTTTACTTAGTAATAATAAATTTGATTAACGATTTTAGATACATGTGTAGAAGCGAGAAATGCAGAAATTAGAAAATTAAGACAAGGACGAGGGAATTTACTTTGAGTTGTTTAAAAATAATTTTTGTTCAAAAAAATAAAAACGTGAATTTAAAAAAAAAATTTATAATTTAAAATTCACAATTCTTTTTCTCCTTTATAAAATTTTATCTATTTTTAGGCAATCTATCTCTATTAGGCAATTTCAGAATGGTTTTATAACACGAATAAATGAAATAATTATTAAGTGAAAAATTGTAGTTTTATATAAAACATATATATATATATATGTAATGTACTGTTCAAAAGGTATAGTATTTAAAATATAATATGTAAGTTATAATATTTAATAGATGAAACAAATCATTTTTTTTAGAAAATTGTGGAAGAAAATTCAGAAAAAATTTTTATCTACTGTTTACTAATAATCATAAGATTTTGACTAAATAAGTGAAATTTTTAATTGACAACTTAATAATAATAATAATAATCAGATACTAACCGGGTATTGCACAAGCTGTTAATCCAACTGAATAGGTGGCTGTGTTTTGCAAAACATCATGTGCAATTTTAGTAACGTATTCAAGAGATAATCCTTTTTCTGCCAGTGCACCAGCTATTTTCATAACAAATATTATTCCCGTTAAACCACGTTTGCCAGCAGCACCTTGTTCTTCCTTTGGTATACTACAGTCGTCATTTACAATGACCTCAGTAATCTGAAATGTTGAATACAATAAATAGTAATTTTCAAACGGATCGGAAAAGTACATTGTAGAAATAAAAATATTCGAAAGAGATTTTCTGATGCTCAAAAATGATTGGTAATCTTAAATTATAAATTGCGATATATATTTGATTTAAAGATAATGCAAAAAGTATTATGTCATTTATTTTTTATGACATAAAAGTCTATTGATGAAAAGAAAATGTAAAACTTGATGGAACTCTCTATTTAAAAAAGAATAGAATTTTATTTGTTGTTATGAAAGTTGTTACAAATAATTTTCAATCGGTGAAAAATTATTCATTAGTCGTAGATAAATCTAATGTGATTATTTGTTGTTCGTTGTTCGCTGTTCATCATTTTTCGCTCCTTGTCATTTATATATTATTCATAATATATTGTTATTTATATATTATTCATAATTTATCATTTTCTTTACCTTTATGCCATTTTGACTAGCTTTCTGAATTGCTATTCCAAAATTAAGACAATCTCCAGTATAATTTGGAACGACCATCAAAACGCCGCCAGCTGAAAACATTATTTACTACATATATAGAATATTTCAAAATTTATCCTCTTTGAAGTTAAATCTCTAAAGCTATATCACTTGTCATAAAGTTATCAATTTCACATAATAATAAATTAATAACAATAATAATCATCAAGAGAACAAGTCAGTGTTTCAAAAGGGGAATCTCATTTTCATAACCTTATTTGTTACAAGAAGATAGTATAATAAAATTCTTAACTCTCAAGAAAAATTTATTTCCACTGGAAATTTACACATTCTGTGTTTTAACTTGTGAAATTGATCATGATGATCTCTTCTAAGTAATTCGTATAATTTAAGATTAAGGCAATATACATTAGATATACTTCCAGTGAGCTAAAATTTGAACATGAGATGATATGAAGTAATAAAATTCAGATCTTTTGTTTTAATCGAAATTACGTAATATATAAATCGTACAACTTACTACTATTATATCGGGAAACACGTTCGATGGCATAAGAAATATGTACTGACGGTGGCGCTGCATATATTGAACCTGCTACAGCTGCAGCTAGCATACCATTTCCAACGTAACCTAAAAAGAAATTATATATTTTTTTATTATAATTATATTTAAATATATAAAATATTACATTATAATCAATTATATTGAATTATTAAAGATGATTAATAATATATGATCTATTAACAATAATGATATAAGTATAATCAGTAATTATAATTAAATTGAATAAAGTTTCAAATAATTACAAATTCTACTATTAAAGTATTACACATACATGTACATACTGATATTTCATATTATTTTTACTTTTTGTATGATAATAGCGTACAATTTTAACTTAATCATATATTTCAACTTTATTTATCTCCTTAGTTTCATGATTAAAGAACTATTTTAAATGATTATCTGTATTTTTATAGATATCTCA